TATTTTATTTATTTGGGATATTCTTAGTATGCTCTGTGGTCGCAGTTTAATCTGATCTTGCACATCAGAAAAGAATTATTCATGTTTTATTGCAAGAGATTATTTTTCTTTTGTCATTCTTGAGTTGCTAGGATTGGGTTTATTGTTTACCATTTTACCTCGGTGTTTTAATTTACACCTTCCGCATTTGCGCATCTGAGCCCAACATATTACACATATATCAAAGTGAAAATAGCTATTTTTACCCCGTTCTGAAGTCATACTAAGTTTTTCACACCAGCTAATAAAAAGCTATGTTTTTCACCCCAAAAAGTACGAAGACATATGCGATGAACTATGTGCTAAATAGGCGACAGGTATGAGCATGGGCGATAAAATTATGAGTTAAAGTATGCGACTGTTCTACGATGAATATTCGGAGATTCGATGTACGATTCGGTCAATCGCAGTCCGTCGCCCATTAAATAATTATTTTTGTTAGGCGAATGAACTGCGACTATTAGTCAAAAAATTTTTTCTGCGACACAACTGCGACATGCCAACGTCGCATATTATTCGTGCAATTAGTGCATAATTTTTTTTTTCTTATTTCTTTCATCTCTCAGTTATGCGAGGCGGTATGCGAATTACCGCATATTGCTTGCATACCCCCTTAGCACTTCTACTCGAAAGTGTATTTTTATTTATTTTTTTATTTCTTTCATCTTTCAGTTATTTCAGTTATGCGATGGGGTATGTGAATTGCCGCATATTACTCGCATACCACCTTCGCACTTCTACTCGAAAGTTTATTTTTTTATTTCTTTCATCTTTCTGTTATTTCAGTTATGCGATGGGGAATGAGAATTACCGCATATTGCTCGCATACCCCCTTCGCGCTTCTACTCAAAAGTTTATTTTTTTATTTCTTTCATCTTTCATCTTTCATCGATCGAAAGTTTATTTTTAAAATTTAAATTTTTGATTGGTTTAGAAGCTGCTGGCAGTTGGAACGTTACGGCCGATTTCGAGGCGTCTTATCCGCTTTTCAAGACGCCTGGGCAGTAAAAGCGTGCACGTGAATCATTTCATCCGTCTATATAAAGCGTGTAATCTTCGATCCATATCATGCCACTTCTCTTACTACCCATCCGTCCCACAGAACTCTTTGTTAATGGCCCTCCGTTTTTCCCTTTTCTTGTATATAAGAAGCAGCTTGCCGAAGATAAACCAGAGTTACAAAAATTCTTTCTTTCGACCCGTGAGGCAATTCTTTAAGATTACTGTGTCCGAATTGAGAACTCCTAACCTTTCGAATTCGTCGGAGTAAAAAATTCAATGAGGGGAAATTCCGCTATCCAACTTTATTAACTTGGCCCCAGTAGGAAACATATATGCCGAGACAGCGACGATGAAGATCAAACCTCCGGGCCCGGGTATTGCCGTATCAACTGTGAGAAGGTTGAAGGTCGGAACAGCGTGCGTCGGTGGCCGGGGCGTAATGGCCCGGCCCTCTGTCAGAGGCAATCCTGGCCTCAACCTCTCTAGGTTGTGGTCGGCCAGGTTTTTCTGACAGAGGAAGGTGTTTGGTCGACAGGGATCTCTTTCCGGAACCCGTCAGAGCCCATCGGTTCAGAGCGTGGTGGTCGGGGCCGATCTCATGCTGGAGTTCTACATGGAACTCCACAAACAAGCTTCACCTACAGCTCCTCTTTCTGGAGTCTGAGTGCTGTGGTAGGCTGGTAGCTCGTCGGCTCCCTCGTCCTAGCTTTTTTTTAGGCTTGGCTGGTCCTTCGATTTTTTTTTTTAACTTTGTAATTGGCTGGGGTTGAAGCGACTGTAAAAGTAGTAGTGTAGGGATTTCTATTCAATCTTTTATTTTGCGAAATACAATCTTCACATATTATTCGCCTAGTTGGTGCATAATAAGAAAAAGAAACTATTTTTGGAAATTTTCTATTCTGCGACACACATTGCGAAACACTCGTGTAGTATAAATGAAGAAAAATCTATATTTTTTTAATTTCTTTTTGAAATTTTCTATTCTGCGAAATACAAACATCGCGTATTATTCGCCTAGTTGTTGCATAATAATTTTTTTTAGAATTTAATTTTTTGAAAATTCTTTTTTAGGCGAAATGAACCTGAGACTATTAGTCGAAAATATTACGCATAACACGTAGTTTAGGCTAATGAACCTGTGACAATTAGTCGAAATACAAACGTCGCCTAACAATTAGTCGAGACAAATTCGCATACAAACCGCACAACATTCGTAGTATAATCGAAGAGTTTATTTAAACAAAATTGTTTTTGGAGATTTTCTATTCTGCGACACACATAATTGCGATAAATAAACGTCGCATAATGCATTCGCAGGTCACTGAGGATATTTGCATACCCACTTTTTGTGTAAAACAATTATTAAACAATTATTTTGGTCTAATAAATGCGATTCTTTATGCGACCGTCTCACGACAGATATGCGTTAATTTGCAGGTCTACCGCAGGGTATTAAACTGCGAAAGAGATGCGGAAACTAAACCATTATATTTATTTTGTTTATTAAAAATGCATCAGAATTGCGAAAGTATGACGCTTGTTACGCGAACATTACTCGACAGCTGTTATTTCGCATATTTTGTCATATAGTTTATTATTTAAAACAAAAAGAAAAAAAG